AGCATTTCTCTCTCCAGTTTTTTCTACAAATGGGCAAGTGCAATGGCTATAGCTCAATAAGAACCTAGTAATTAAGGGCACAGAACTTTCAGGATGAGGACCTGTATTACTCTACTTGGCAAGTCACCTAGACCAGCAGAAGTGCTGCTCATTAATGTTCTCTTGTAATTTTCTCTGGAAATTATGATTAATTAGCTGGATTGAGCTAATGAGAGAAAGAGGTGAACCTGAGAAGTGCCATGGTGGACTATATGCTATCTGTCCAGATTCCTTTACACTGTTCACCCGCACCGTTCTCCAGGTAATTACCCTCAGCGTATAGCAGCCCCCTCATCTGGAGGTTTTTGCTCATTCTTCACCATCTCCTCCTTCCCCAGAGTAGTCCACACCTAGCGATAACTGATGTGGGAGTACAAATGTCTAAGCACCTTGCCTCTAGGAGAGGCAGACCTGTGGTACCATTTACACTCTGGAGCTTTCGGTGGGGTCAGATAAGGATAAAATTAAATTACGTTTTGGCTTAGCTTCTTCTGCTACACTATCTTGCTCCTGCGGTTTCTCACAGATTTCTCATGAGCATTTCCTTATAAATCACTTGTGTAAGAATCTGTTTCAGGTTCTGCTTTTGGTGATTACAACTTAGCACACACATCTGAGGCCAGTACCCCCTTAAACAGCCTCCTTTAGGATAAAAGTTACTAGTATAGAAATTGTACCCTATCCCTTAGATATAATGATGTAAAGAAAAAAAAAAGATTGAAGACAGCTAGTCTAAAAACAACTGTGCAAAAATTGGGAAAATAGATCAACAAAACACTGAGAAGATTTACCAGTTCAGTTGACAGTAAACTTAAGAATTAACCATGGCAACCATGCATATTGTATGAAAAATGATTTGAAGGGTACTGATAATGAGATTAGGAACACTGCTGTCTTAGATTGGGTATTCTCTGGAGCATACCCAAAAACTGGAGTTTGAGAGCAAATCAAATATTTGAGATATAATCACAAGAAGTGCTGTAGAAAACTTGGGAAATGACCCAGGAAAAAAAAGGAAGTCAGTATAAAGCGAGTTAATGATCAGAATACTCCTGTAGGCAGCTGGGATGCAATCCCACTGAGAACCCCTGGAAGACTCATAGAACATTCCCACTTGAGGGCAAATAATCTAGGGCATTTATTCACCAGCTCCTATTCATTGGTGTAGACTGATTCCTGGAGGCTTTAACTCTCCTGCCCAGAGCTCACTCCTATATCCAGAGAAAATGCTCAGGCTGAGAGTTCTGAGTAATTGCTCTAAGAAACAAGCTTCCTATGCTAGAATGAGGAGTGCTGAGGCAATAGGGGTGGAGACCCTGAAATAATCTCTTCTCTTTCAGCAGAGAACAACAGAAACATTGACAGATAAGAACAACTTAAATCAGAAAAATAAAGAGACATGATGCCATTATATTTGAATGCTTGGAAAATTAAAATTTATTTAAGATGTAGGAATTTTTCCATGTGAGAATATGTGTCAGAAAGCACATATTTCAATTAGGGTGACATGACTGTTGACAGATTTCAGGGAAAATTCAAACTTGTTTTCATTTGGGACAGAGAGAGTAATATAGTGGGGGTAGGGGTAGGGAGAACAGCATATTTGGAGGCCAAAGTCAATTTAAGAATCAGCCAGAAGAGAGATTTTACAATTGGTCTCCCATGATTCAGCTCACAAATGAACTACATCAAGAATATTGATTGATGAAAAACAGGTGAGTGCAGGTCAGAGTGCTGAGCAGCAAGAATCACTAGAACAGGCTGGATGGCAGCAGGTGGTCTGGCAAGAGCTGGGGCAGCAGCAACTACACACAGCAGCTGGGGCGGTAGCATTGGGTCCTGCAGCAGGTGGTCTGGCAGCAGGTGGGGCGGCAACAGCCAGAACCACAGCAGCTGGAACCACAGCAAGAGGGACGGCAGCAGCCAGAACCACAGCAGCTAGATCCACAGCAAGAGGGACGGCAGCAGCTGGAACCACAGCAGCTGGGGCGGCAGCAGGTAGTCCTGCAGCAGGTGGTCTGGCAGCAGGTGGGTCGGCAGCAGCTGGATCCACAGCAGCTGGGGCGGCAGCAGCTGGAACCACAGCAGCTAGATCCACAGCAGCTGGGGCGGCAGCAGGTGGTCCGGCAGCAAGTGGTCTGGCAGCAGGTGGGGCGGCAGCAGCTAGATCCACAGCAGCTGGGACGGCAGCAACTAGACACACAGCAGCTGGGGCGGCAGCAGGTGGGGCAGCAGCAAGTCTCCTGGCCACAGCCCTGGTCAGAGCAGATGGAGCCACAACAGGAGTTGACCATGGTGTCAAAGGGTGGAGGTTCTGGGTGAGTTTCCAGGAAGGTGGGTTTGGAAGGTCTGGAAGTCTTCTTGCTTCAGGTTTCTTTTATACCCTGCTAAGGGGCTGCTGTCATCAGATGCAACAGTCTTTCCTTGTTGTTGTTTATCCTAATAAATAGGCAATTATTAAATTAGGCTAGTTTGATTTCCTGTTTAAATTTTTCATGATGGGTGGAAAACATTATTTCCTTTTCCTGTTGTTTTAGTATCCATCTGGTCAACTCTTCGTGAATCATCTCTTATGTGTCTGTCTTCCTCAAAGAGAGCTGTCTCATGGCATGCTGCCTCTAGGTACTATGTGCTTCGGTCTCATTTTGCATAGCACAGCCTGTCTACCCTCAGTGATAGTGATTCTTATAGGCCCATAATTCTTTCAGATGACCCAGGAGGATAGAGTTGTGGTTTAGTCTGGTGCCTCATCCATTATGGGTCAGGTGGGCAGTGAAGGTTTTAACATGAAACAGGAGACCACTGGCATTATTAGAACACTTCCCCTTCCCCAGTGTAAATCATGACTCATTTCCTATACTTTTTTGATGAAAAACATGGAACTGATTTAAAGTAGGAAAGTAAGTTGTAAAATTTTGATGTTTCTTTTCCAGAAACAAACCACCACAACTCAGTTTTAGGGCCTCTAGGGGAAGTTGGCTGCAGAGATCAGCTCTATTGTAAGATTCAGGTTCCTCAGCTCTCTGCTCTGTGGGGCTGATTTTCCTTCCAATGTTGACTTTCTTTCAGGCTTTAACGTGGCACATTGACTTGTCTCCTCTGTTTCCCAGATGTACTTTCCAGTCCAAGTGAGATTACCCTGTGTCCTTTCCTGTTACTCTAGTTCACACCCTAACATCCTGCTCTCTGTTGAGTGCTGGACTGTGAAGATGGCCTGTACTCTCCTGTTTCATCATTCAAGGTGTTGATCAGATACGACTCACTAGGTTTAGATTTTGAGAGAGAGAGGTAGAGAGAGAGAAAAAAAATGATAGAAAACAAATATAAATCAAAGGATATCAGCCACCTCTTTTTTATAGTGGGATGGAGTAAGAGCTTAAAGGGTGCAAAAAAATGCCCAGCCAAATGGGGGGTGATTACTGTTTCAAAAAATGAGGAATGCTTCCAGTCCATCAGTTGGCCCTTTATGTGTATATATTCCCCCACCCTTGTGAGTCAAGGAAACCTAAGGAAAGAGATAGAAAATCCTCTCATTGTATCATATTCTTCCAAATATGTGTCACTTTCCACTTTAGTATGGTCTTGGGGTAGCAATTCCTGTTTTGGACTGGACTCTCTGAGGACAGGTATGGGCATCCTGACTTTGATGAAAGTCTTTTCATAAAATGTATTCATCAAAATAGTTGTGGGCCATGAAGTTAGAGAAGAGTAAATACACTGAAGGGCAGAATGATGGTTTCAAATACTTTAGACATGCTTGCACAAGAAACCAAATCTAAAAAGATGAAAGCCACTCTCATACCTAAAAGAGTGGATAGTTCTTAATGCAGCGGGGTGCATGAGAACGGATAGGAGTAAATATAACTAATTTTTTTAACTTGTGGAGATTTGATCCCCAGTGTGGCAGTGTTGGGAACTGATTGAGTCATGGGGGCGGATCCCTTGTGAATGGATTAATGCCCTCCCCGGGGGAGGGGGAATTAATGAGTGAGTTCTCGCTCTATTAGTGCCCACGAGAGCTTATTGTTTATAGGACCCTGGCATCTCTAGCTTCTCTCTCTTGCTTCCTCTCTCGCCATGTGATCTGCTTGTACCCACCAGCTGCCTGCCACTTTCCACCATGAGTAGAAGCAGCCTGAGGCCAGTGCCAGATGCAGCTGTCCCAGATAAACCAAATAAACCTCTTTTCCTTATAAATTACTTAGTCTCAGGTGCCAGATGCAGCTGTCCCAGAATTGTAAGCCAAATAAACCTCTTTTCCTTATAAATTACTTAGTCTCAAGTATTTCTGTTATAGCAACACAAACGGACTATTAAAGTATTAGTCCACATGTAACTGCCAGCCACTTCCTGCCATTAAACCTTCCATGCAAACATTGATACATTAATGATAGTGCAGTATTTACCAAGAAAGAGGAAGAAGTTCTACTTCTCTGAACATTCTAAACATCTCTGGAAAATGCATTTCATTCTGGGCTATGTAAGAAGACTAGAGATAAATTGAGGTTTATGAAAAGAAAAGTTGCTTTGATGGTGGTTTCATAATCAGTGAGGAACAAGTGAAAAAACTTTGGAAATTTAACCTAAAGAAGGGAACACTGGAGCAAAGCAAAGGTGGTACAGCATGAAGGGGCTCTGTGTGAGAGACTGGACCTGCCCCAGATTGCTGCAGTGGGCTGACGTAGGATCAGTCACTGGCTCACAGAGAGAAACAAAGTTTCATTCAACATGGTGAAGATGTTTTATGGAGTGGACCACCACCATCGATTGTCAATGGAGGGGTTAAGTGTGAACTGATGTTGCTGAGATTCAAGAACCAGATGAAGAGAAAGAAGGAAGGAAAGAAGGACCACAATGGTGCGTTAGACTTGCAGAGGGAGAGAGCAGACCTAGGGATACAAAGTGGGGTGGGGGAAATTGGGAGGGGAGGATTAATTGGCTGGGGGACATGGGGTATAATAGCAATTTGTGGTAATGGGCATGCTGTCAGTACTGATCTGGCCATGACATCTTGGGCATGAATGGTGACGGTCAGCTTTGTACCCCATGAGTATTCACAACTAATTCAAAAAAAGAACCAGAAGGAGGGGGACTGTATGAAATAACTTTGAGATTCCCTTTCTTCCTTCAGGCACTTATACTAATAAATCAAATTTGGATGCTTTTATGATGATATTTTGTTCCTAGCTAGTTTCTGCTCCTGCCCTGGACTTAATTTCCAGGTTCACACTACCAGAACAATACGAACCTGGTCTCCAGATGGACCCCTGCCTGGAGCTTTGGCTGGTGTTCTGAGTCTGCTCTTGTGTGCTGACTCTGATGAACTTAGACATGACTTTTTGTTGAGGTCCTGAGGCTTTTCCTCAGTCAGAGGGAGATGAGGGCACAAAAGCAGTTTTCAAGTTGTGGAGCAAAGACACTGGTAAGCCCCATCATGGAATATGAGAAAAACTCTTAAGATTTCCTAAATAACTTGTAGGAAAAGAATAATGTTCATGAGGAGCCCTGATGACTGGTGCCCACTGATGACTCAGTAGAGATGATATTTACTATGGGAAACATAAATTTTAGATTTCTGCTGTTCCAAAATTTTAAATTTTAAAGAGTCAATTCTATCAAAAAAAAAAAAAAAGAAAGTGAGATGACAAACTGAAAATTTAGAATATCTCTCAGAACAAATGAATGAATTAGAGAAATTAATAACCTTATAATTTAAATGGCACTAGAAATAATAAAAAGTAGAATTAACACCCTTTCAAATTGACAATGTAATGTGCATAATTTTGAAGATTTTCTAGCATATAAAGAGTTTAAAAATTAATTCTCACAACACAAAAAATATTAAAAGACAAAAGAGAGATATCAGTGGGGTTATTCTGAACCAGAAAAGTTAATGAAAACAACAACAAAAATATTTCTAAACTTGTATCTTTTTTAAAATTTCAAAACTAGGGATATATTTCTCTCAGTGTCCCAGTAGGAAAAAAGTCAGGAAAACTTTAAAGAAAAAAATGGGGGCTATATCATTATTTTTTACAACATGTAGTTTAGGTAGATAATGACATGGCAATTAATAATAGTATTTACTATGAAAATAGAAAACATTTATTAATTATTTTGTTTCTAGAACTGTGCTAAGTATTTATGGGTGTTAATTCAATCCTCAAAACGACTATAAAACCCAAGCATTATCATTGGTCACATTCTGCAGATGAGTAAACTGAGACTTAATAGAGGTTACGCCCGCACTGCGCTCAGCCAGCGAGCGGGAACCGGTCTCCACATGGGATCCGAACCCTCGGCGGGAACGCCTCCGCACTCCCAAGTGTTGCACTCTCCAGTGCGCCACCGGGCCGGCCCTTTCATGAACTTTTTGAAGTACCCTCATACACACACATGTGTATATGTGTATGCATACATGTATGTATACATACAGATATACTCCATTTTTTATCCATTCCTCTGATAATGGTCACTTAGGGTGTTTCCATGTCTTGACCATTGTGAATAACACTGCAATAAATATGGGAGTGCAGATGTCTCTTTGAAATATTTATTTTCCTTCAGATATATACACAGAAGTTGGATTGCCGGACCATACGGTAAGTAGTTCTATTTTTAATTTTTTGAGGAACCTCCACAGTGTTTTACATAATGGCTGTACTAATTTACATTCCCACCAACAGTGTGTAGTGGTTACTTTTTCTCCACATCCTTGCCAACACATTTTTTCTTTTTGATAGTGGCCATTCTGGCAGGTGCAAAGTGATGTCTCTTTGTAGTTTGGATCTGCATTTTCCTGATTATCAGTGCTGTTGAACATTTTTCATACATCTTTGGCTATGTATATGTCTTCTTTTGAGAAATGTCTATCCTGTTCTTTCCCCCATTTTTAAATTGGGTTATTTGTTTTCTTGATATTGAGTTGATTGAGTTCCTTACATATTTAGGAATATTAACCCCTTATAAGGTGTATATTGACAAATATTTCTTCCATTTTAAAGGTTGTCTCTTCACTCTGTTGATTTTTTCCTTGGCTGTTGCAGAAGCTTTTCAGTTTTACGTAATTTTACTTGTCAGTTTTTGCTTTTGTTGCCTGTGCTTTTGAGGTCATATTCAAAAAATCATTGTCTTTTTCACTGCCTGACTCGTTTCACTTAATATTATTCTTTCAAGGTCCATCCATGTTGTTGCAAATGGGAGTAATTCATTCGTTTTTATAGCTGAGTAGTTTTCCATTGTGTAGATATACCACACATACACACACACACACACACTCTCACACACACTCACA